GAGGCCGATCAAGATCAACAAGCCACCAACAGGATCAAGATCAACAAGCCAAGAATTCAAGGAAAAGAATCAGAATATAAATATTAGAGATGGTAGAAATCTCAAATTTCAACACAAACTATATTTAGTCCACAAAATATAATTTCTTCGTAAATGTCGCGTGAACACATATTAGAGTTTTTTTTTAAGAATAATTTTCTTAAAACAGACCGATTATGCACATGCCTAATAAATACAGGGTTTGGTAAATGTACCATCTTCAAATAAATGTAGTATTACGGAAAGACTTTTCTTTAGTCCAACTTTAGAAACTTGGACTTTTCTTAAGCTAAACAAAAAATTAAACTTTGATGGTTTAAATACCAAGACTTAATAGCTTCTTTTTTACCCTGATAAGTATTGGTGCCTCTTATTTTCATTGAAAAGAAAAAAAAAATTGATGTCTATGAAAATAAAAAAGATTTGCCTTGGCCAGTAAAGTTTATGTTTTTTTCTTTCTTATTTCTGGATTTCAATTTTCCGTAATTATTCTTGTTTCTCATTTTTTATGTTTAAGAAATATTTTCAAACCATATAAAAATGGTCCTTACCATATTCCATTTTTTTTTTACCTGAAACATAAGCAAAAACAATATTTTATCATTTTTAACTTATAAAACGCCGTAATAAATATTAAAAATTAAATATAAGATTTTTTTAATATTTAATTAACAAATTAATTTGCATACAAAAGTTACTTTTCTCATTTAAACTTCTAAAAAACTAAACAAGAAAGGGATACCAATATTTTTTTAATTAAAAAAACGACAAACAATAAACCGAACACTGTTCTTTTTCTATTTGTTAAAAATAAGAAACAAGAAATAATAAACGAGAAAAAATATTATCAAACAGACCCAAAATTAATGACAACTTTATCAATACGAAAAAGATGCTTTAGAAGTGATTTTCATTGGATGTCATTTGATATTGATGTTATATTAATTTTGAAGTAAGTTGTTACTAATTTAACAAGATTTTTTGGCCAAATATATTCCACGAACAGGTTTTGAGTTTGATCCCGTACTAAAAAAATAATAAAATAAAATAAAATTGGAGTTATGTACTATATTTATTTTGTAAAATAAAATTGGAGTTATGTACTATATTTATTTTGTAAATCTTATCCAGTAGAATATCATAAAATGATATATTTTAAATTCTGATAAGATCTTAATTGTTTATTTAATTTTTATTAACTGTATATATCATTTGATTTATATAAATTTAGTATTTCATTTTAGAAAAAGCAGCTTGAATTTATATTCTTCTAATATTTTATTCTATTCGAAAAAAGAGTTATCAATTGTACTTCTCCTGGTATATGTTTTATGTTGACATTAAGAGGAAATCTGCCTCGTTAACATTTTAGGACTAGTTTGATAATCATATCTGGTTTTTGTTTTTTATTTTTCAAATTTAGGATTGTGATGAGAAATTTACCAAACCACTGGAAAATTTGGAAATTATAATAAATGATTTCTTTTGACTTTGACATTTAAACATTCATCCGATTCATTCAAAACCAATTATAAGCTTTTGTGTGGACGAATCTTGACCACGTTCCATTTGTGGACAGGATCTTAACAAATATCCAATGGAACACCTCTCTTTAGGTTGTATACACATTAACATAAAAATGTCAAGAATATGTAAAAAGGAGTGAATACATTTATGAGCTGCAATAGTAGTTGAAGGTAGAAAATTTAAGGCACGTCTCATAATTTTCCTCTATCCTCCTAATAACCTTGTTGATGTTATAGCGTGTCATGGTCCTTCCCCTTTCTCGTTGCTGATGCCACCGCTAGTTTGTCATCAAAGCCACTAGTTTGTCATCAAAGCTTTTGTTCTTAATCGAGAGAAAGATTTAATAAGGAAATATCTTCATTTAAAATCTAGAACGGTGATCAGAAATGAAGAGCAATTCTTTCGTTTCAAATCTAGGACAAGGAAGGCTCCTTTGCTTCAGATCTTGAACAAGACAAAGAGAACATTAATTCTTCATTCTAGATCAAAGAAGGAAGACACGTTTCTTCTCGTTCTAAATCGAACAACGAAGTTGTCCCTCGCATTCCTTTTCCATATCGAACAAAATATATATATAAGTGTTCCTTGCATTCCTTTTCCATATCGAACAAAATATATAATATATATATATAATTTTTGTAATTATCTCTTATATCTTTTTAGTACAATAAGTGGGGACAGAGATGAGACTGCAACTCACAACTATGACATTATCTCTTATATTTTAAAAGGGGTATAATTAAAAAATAACTCTATTAATTTTCATTATCTAATTAAATTATAATGGAAAGTTTGTCACAGCTTACCTATGCATTTTTAAACAATAATGTTAATATAAGGAATATGTAAAATCCAAAAAAAATGACATTATAAAACATATATTTTACGTGAAATTGATAGAACTCAGAGAAAACCATATGAGACGATTTTTATTTTTTATTTTTTGAAAAATTGTAAATTTTGGTATAGTTATTTGATGGTCTAATTTGGCCATTGATAAAATTTAATTTTTGCAAAAACTATTTTTATTAAATCTGTAAGTTTTTATAAATTTTTACGTTTTTTTTTGTTTAAAATTAATAGGTGAATGGTTGAAAATTGAATAGATAATAAACATTATAACACTCAAGTGTGAAAACGATTTTTTTTGTAATATAATTTTTGATATATTTGTTATAAAATATAGATTAAATAATATTGAAAATTAAATTATAATAAATTATTATGTATGACACTAGTTTGTTTAGCACAAATGGTAAAGCCTTTTCTAAAATAAATAGAAAAAATATATAATTTGGTATTAGCTTATTCAAAATAAAATATAATTGAATTATCCCTATTTATTCAAATAATATAATTTACGATATAAACTTGTTTTGACATAAAAGTAAAAATTATTAGTTTAAATAAAGGATAAAATTTTAAAATATTTTTAATTTAAAAATATAAATTTTTTTAAAAAGAAAATATAGTAGTTTTAAATCAAAATAAAATTTCAATACATTTTAGATTATAAAAATATAAAATATAAAAAAGAAACAGATAGTAAAATAGTAAAATAGTAAAGTATTTTTAAAAAATAGGAAATTTTTTGTTTAAGAAAATATAATAGTTGTAAATCAAAATGAAATTTCAAAACATTTTAGATTACAAAAATATAAAATATAAAAAAAGAAATAAAAGTATAAATTATTAGTTTAACTAAAGAATAAAATTTTAAAATATTTTTAATTTAAAAAATATAAAATTTTTTATTTAAAAAATATAATAGTTTAAAATCAAAATGAAATTTCAAAATATTTTAGATTATAAAAGTATAAAATATAAAAAAAGAAAAATATAGTAAAATAGTAAAATATTTTTAATTTAAAAAATAGGAAATTTTTTTGTTTAAGAAAATATAATAGTTTTAAATCAAAATAAAATTTCAAAACATTTTAGATTACAAAAATATAAAATATAAAAAAAAGATACGGGTAGAACTCTGTACTCCTTGTACAATGGTGGTCATATACACTACTAAACCATTTGAATATTTTTTTAAAACTAGATACAAGTATATTACCTAACCTTAGACAACGCCTTGGACACAAAATAAAGAAATAGTAAAAATGAAACTATTTTTCTTAGTTTCCAAATTTAGAAACCAGGTTGGTTACCAAACATTGTCTGTTTGTCAAAAAATGAGAATCAGAAACAAGAAACGAGAATGTTACTAAACGAGTCCTAAACTACTACCTAAAAAATATGCTATAAATCCAAGGAGACAAAAGGGACAGCGTAGGAAACATAGAAAAATGTTTAAACGGTGTGTTTGTTTGGTAGAATACGTAAGGGAAACCTGCATGCATCTATCCTCTTGAAGGTGGTGATGGAGATGGACCAAAAAATCCACAACTTAACTTTGAAAATTATTCTGAGAGATGGCTTCAAAATTGTATTCCTGATGGCTTTCACAAGCAAAGCCGTTCCCAATTGACTATTAAATATTCAGAAACTTCAAATTATATATATTATAATACTATCAATATCTTGTATTTATGATCCGAGCTTCAACTTGATAAGAACAGTTGGTGATATTATAAAGATTGTTAGAATATTTTATTAAGAAAATATCAAAAATATTTATAGTATATACTATAAATATTTTGACATTTATAAAAACGTTTTTTTAATTTGAGTTCGTGATATTTATATAAACCCAAATTAAAAAAACATTTTTGGAATCCATATTTCATATATATGATGGAAATATCAATTAATTATGGATTGATATGGAAGGTAAGAACGTTTAGAGATGCCAATAAAAAAATAGAGTCATGTCAATAGAAATTTAATATATCAGATGTTTTAATCAAATAAAATATTATCATTGGGCTTAAAAGATATATTACACACCTCATAAAATAGTATTTTTAAAAATAAAAAAAAATATGTTTTTAATTAAACGATGTGGGTGAAAATTCCAATAAGATCTTTAGAATAAAATGTATAATATCTTAACCAATCTAATCGTGAATATAGACTCGTTTGAAAGTTTTTATATAAAAATTGATACTTTCCCAACATAGAAATGGAAAGGAAAAAGAGTACCATTTTGGGATCATCCAAGCTATTATTTTCATTTCTTTAGAAGAATAATGCTCCGACATAATTATCAATTTGGTGAATAGAAACAATAAGTTGTGAATAATTTTATCAAGAAAAATCCAAATTCTAAATTTTTTTTTTCTATTTACAAGTTGGTTTGGTGGACAATATCATGGTTTGAATTATAAAGCCCACCACGTTTTTAAAATTCGGAGTCCCAAATAATATTATTTTGCATTAAATTAAAACAAAAAGGTTGTTTTCTCTCATTCTCTCCTTTTATCCCTTCATCTCTATAAATATTGCCTGAAACAAATGTTGGCTTCCATATTCGTCTTCTCACACTTCAACAAAAGAGAGAGAAAAGAGGAGAGAGAGAAAATGTTGTCTCAGTTATTGAGATCGCAGCTCCAAAAATTCATCCATGAAGACTTCCATGAAGCTGTAAAGCGGATGACTGTTATTGATACTTTGCTCTTCTTGGTAACAGTTTTTCGTTTTTGGTTTTAAAGCTATTCTTTCTTTTTTTTTTTTAAGTTAAATCTTTGTTTATCAAACGATAATATTTGGTAGTGCTTGATTATAATTTTTCAGGTTATGTTTAGTAGCGTGTTAAGTAGTGCTTAATTATAATTTTTTAGATTATGTTTGGTAGCATGTCAAGGATCTAACGTTAAAAAGAGAAGGGACCTTACAATGATTTTTGTAACAGATATGGACTACTCCTCTTATTGACAATTGGTTTTGAGAATAAACTCGTCCATGAATATTAAATGATATCAAAGTCCAAAACGCTCAAACAAGCAACCGATCCAAAAATGAGATCTGACCAAGATCGATGAGTCAAAAGAACCACGATCTTGAGAGACATATTAAAGATCTCACATAAAAAACAAAAAGACCTTACAATGATTTATAATAGACATGGACTATTCCCGATTAATTTTGAGATCGTTATTAACTGAATCAATCAAAATAAAAAATAGAATAATGATACCAAACAACCGTACTTTTTTTTTTGGCTACCACGACCGTACATTTTTTATTTCTTATTTAATGGGGGTTATTTTTCTATTCTCAGGAAGAGAAAAACAAAAGGGTGTTCGTAACTTGTTGTTATCATTATTATTTTGTTTTTTTTTGGTTTCTTCCACGTCCTTATTATGGTAAAAGGATTCAAATTGGATTTGGATGACAATTTAAATTGAAAAAAAAAGTTTTGCTTTAAGACAATTTTTAATAAGAATAAATTTAAAACTATGACGTCATATTTTAGATATTTTATATTTATTATGTATTTTACAAATAAAAAATAATAAAGTATTATGTTTTTGAAAAGTTAGAAACAAGTACTAGAAAACAAGAAATAAGTAACCAAATTATTTTGTTGTCAATAATATATTTACAATTAAGGGAGAAATAGATAACTATACTAGTATAATATATTTAGTATACTATTGTTGGGATTTATAGTATACTTGATCAACCAACATCGATTTGGTCGATTTCAATAAGTTCGAGTTAATTTGTTGATGTTATAATTCACCCCTACAAAAATCATACTTATATAAAATATCGGAAAAAATACTAAACGTGAAGCCAAATACACTCCCAAACAATCTCTAACATTATTTGAATCACCTTTTGTCTTTTTCATTTTGTAGATTGTGCATTTGGTTGATAAGTTGGGAGTTTGGCATAAACTACCAGTAATTTTGGGACTAGTTTATTTAGCGATTCGTCGCCATCTTCATCAAGAATATAATTTGTTCAACGTTGGTAGAACCCCGGTCGGAGTTCGATTCAACCCAGTGGATTTCCCATACCGAACCGCCGATGGCAATTACAATGATCCCTTCAATGAAGCCGCAGGTGCCCAAGGATCATTCTTTGGTAGAAACATCCTCCCCGTCGACCAAACCAAAAAGGTAGCAAAATACAAGTAACTATTGTACACTGTTGTCACTTGTTATTTTAGGTGATTATTGAATTCGAAATTTATAGACTCGTTTGATAATGTTCTTGTAGTTGTTGAAACCTGACCCGATGGTGGTTGCTACAAAACTTCTGGCAAGAAGAAAGCTTATAGACACTGGAAAACAATTCAATATGATTGCTGCTTCTTGGATTCAGTTCATGATTCATGATTGGATTGATCATTTGGAGGATACCAAACAGGTCCGATATATATAATAATTGTCTTCTTATTTAATTTAGTCCAAATTGAAGTTTTAAAAGTTAAGATGTGAAAATGAAAGGTGGGACCAAAAAGTAAATAGGACGATTAGAAGCTTTATGCCCTTTTCAACTTTTCAGCCCGCTTAATTAATTTGAACCTTTTCGTACTTTTAAATGTTTTGTTAGGTTATGCCTTTGCAAAATAAATATTAATTAATTAATTAATTAATTAAAAACAACTAGTTTATGGTCCTTACATCTTAAATTTAAGACTTATGCTAACTTAATTATTTCACAGGTGTATCAACTTTTGGTATATTAAATTTGGAAACAAAGTAACTTAAGATTTATATTAATGGAGGAGTTTGGTGCTTATGTGACATGGTTTGTGTTCTCCGACGTATAATAAATGTCAACGATTATAGAATTTGGATATGGTAGTATCACCTATCATGAAATTTTGGGTTCCAAGTCTTGCACTAGTTATAGTGTTGTTCAGTCCAGGTAATGAGCCTCGGTACTGAAATTTGAATTGGATATCCTTGCCATGTTTAATATTTTAATAATTCTTAATTATTATATATAATAATATATTAAATTTAATAAAATATTTATCAAATTTAAAAAGCCCAATAAAAAAAAATTTCCCTTTATTATCTCGTAATCCTAATTTTAATTTTTATAACTTTTATAACAATTAAAGATTTCTTTGTTTTGAAAAAACCAACCCATTAAAATATTTTAATGGCATCTAGATACTAATGGTATTCAAATATACCTATCTATCTTATATTCTAATAAAAAAGTTTTTTTTTAATTTTTTAAACTAAAACATTTTTTAGAAAAAAAAACTAGGTATGTTGTTAAAAAAATAAATTAAAAATCCAATTGTACGGAGTCCTCACCCCAAAATTTCGGAGACCGGGACATGGATGAGGAAAAATCCCCAACGGGCCCGGATAGGGATTACTCTCCAGCCCCTCCCCACCCTGTTGCCATTCCTACCTACTGGAAAATTTTAAAAAAAAATTTGGATTGAAAACTACATATCAGTACGTTGAAAGTCTAATAATGGGAACTCTAACCACTCATCAATATATATAGAGTTCCATCTCAAAATTAAATAAATGGACAATAAGATGAGTAACACATATATTATAAACCTTGTTAAGTCCCTCATTTGATGATCGTTGTTTTTAATTTGTAACTGACAGAAAGTTTCTAACCCTAACTCTAAGTGATTAATTTGACACATATATATATATATTGTTTTTAAGTATAGGTTGAGTTGGTTGCTCCACATGAAGTTGCAACAAGCAATCAGTGCCCATTGAAATCCTTCAAGTTCTTTAAGACAAAGCAAGTTCCCACTGGATTTTTTGAGATCAAAACTGGCTCTGTAAACGTCCGAACACCTTGGTGGTAAGATTTTCTCTCAACAAAACACCATTTCTATGCACTTAAATAAAAAAAATTATTTAATCTTCTTTTTACTCTTCTGATCTCTGGGCTCGTAGGGATGGAAGTGTTTTGTACGGAAGCAATTCAGAAAAGTTGGGGAAGGTAAGAACTTACAGAGATGGGAAGCTGAAAATTGCCGACGACGGCCTTCTTCTTCACGACCATGACGGCGTTGCCATCTCCGGCGATGTCCGAAACAGCTGGGCCGGTGTTTCGACCTTGCAGGCTCTCTTTATCAAGGAGCACAACGCGGTCTGTGATACCCTAAAGGTTTGAAAACACTTGTGATCTTACTACCGTTTGGCAGCTTTTCTTTCTTTTTAATATAACACTAGGGTGAAAGATGGAACTCACAACGTTACCACTTCTATATTGCTCCCTTTGGCGTTTCACAACTTTTCTTATTTTTTGATTTTTGTAAAAGCACAATTATTTTATTGTTTATACCATTTTCAGCACTTTTCTAAGAAAAATAAGAGAAAAAAGAACAATAAATAGTATCAGTAGAATTATGTTTCCATATCGGAGATATAGGAATATTACCAAATTGGCCCTAAAATTTCTTCAAGAGAGACTAATGAGGTTATATTTTACAGAAGGAAGATCCAGAGCTGGAAGATGAAGACTTATATCGATATGCAAGACTTGTAACTTCTGCTGTGATTGCAAAGATTCACACCATTGATTGGACTGTCGAGCTTCTCAAGACAGATACTCTCCTTGCAGGAATGCGGGGCAATTGGTAACCAAGAAAAAACCCTTTCTCCAATACAATTTTTTTTTCCTCTCCAATCATATATAAACTTAAAAGCATTGCTAATCTAATCATAGCTGAATTGATTAAAATATATAGTCTTGACTAGTTATCGATAAGGCTAGAATAATGAAGTCAACAATTTTAAATTTATGCATAAAATACATTTTCTAAATATGTATGGAACAACACTTTATTTATTTATTTATTTTTTTTATCTTTTAAGGTATGGACTTTTGGGAAAGAAATTTAAAGACACATTTGGGCATGTTGGAGGATCCATTTTTGGAGGTTTAGTGGGTTTGAAAAAACCCAATAATCATGGCATCCCCTATTCGTTAACGGAAGAATTTGCAAGTGTTTACCGGATGCACTCGCTCTTACCCGATGATTTCTACCTCAGAGATGTCACCATTGATCCTCATCGCAACAAATCTCCACCTTTGATCAACAAGTACCATCTCTCTTGATTATTATCTATTTTTGTTTTTTACATATATCAAAATAGATATTTTGAAAGTATATCAGTTAAAAGGACCAAAATAGGATTTATTCTAAGATAGAATCTTTTACTATCCAATTATTAAGCAACTAATTAATTATTTTTTGTTCTTTGATAGAGTGCCAATGGGGAATATGATAGGCCATAATGGAGAGGAGGCCTCAAAGAAAATGGGCTTCACGGCCCTATTAGTTTCAATGGGCCACCAAGCCAGTGGGGCCCTCGAGCTTTGGAATTATCCACTGTGGCTCAGGGATCTCACACCCCATGATGTGGACGGCAAGGATAGGCCCGATCATGTTGACCTTGCAGCTCTCGAAGGTTGTTGACTCAATCACAACCCTTCATTTCCCTTGATCCAATATAATCTGCGCCGTTGATTTACATCATGTTGGGTAAAAATGTAATTTTGCAGTTTATAGAGATAGAGAGAGGAAGGTTGCTAGGTACAACGACTTCCGCAGGGGGTTATTGCTCATCCCAATCTCCAAGTGGGAAGATCTGACGGACGATGATGAGGCAATTGAAGTGCTTCGTGACGTGTACGGTGAAGATGTGGAGGAGCTTGATATTCTCGTGGGGCTGATGGCAGAGAAGAAAATCAAGGGTTTTGCCATTAGTGAGACTGCTTTTGTCATTTTCTTGCTCATGGCTTCAAGGTATCTTAACCCCAAATTTATTCATATTTCCCTCTTTTGTTATTTGATTTGTTCATAACGAAGTGACAATGATCTCAACTAATCAAAACTATAAGAAAAAGTACAACGGGTGATATGACAATTTTCTTTTCAGTTGCATGACAGTTTAAGAAAATAGAATGGTTATACGACGTACTGATTATGAATTTTCGACTAAGACATGGAAAAATCCTAAAATACAGGAGGCTAGAGGCAGACACGTTTTTCACGAGCCATTTCAATGAAGAAACATACACAAAAAAGGGATTGGAATGGGTGAATACAACGGAGAGTTTGAAGGATGTGATAGAAAGGCATCACCCAGATATCGCAAACAAATGGATGAATTCATCAAGTGCTTTCTCTGTTTGGGATTCTCCTCCCAACAAACGCAACCCTATCCCTATTTACCTTAGGATTCCTAGTTGAATGCTTTTCATATTTTCTTGAAAAATACTTAGGAGTCGTTTGGTTGAAGGTTTCGAAAAGGTATCTTGGATTAAGATGCCTGTGATTAAGTGACCTAGAAATAAGATGGTTGGAAATCAAAGATAAATATGTTTGGTTGTATATATGTATGGGATTAAGATGTTTGAGATTGAGATGTCTGAAAATAAATTATATATATATATATATATATATATTTTTTGTGTGATTACTTTAGAAATATGCATGGTAAACATTCCTTAATATCTAATCAAATTTAATTAAAAATAAATTATATAAATTTAATAATTTTAATTTATAAATTATTTTATATTAACATTCTAAATTTTAAATTGATAATTTAACTATGTTGACAATTTAGAATGATCAAACAATTAATAGTAAATGATATTTACCTAAAATTCAATATATACATATTTAACAAAATAATATATGTTTATAAAGCTTTAGAATTAATAAAAATTAATTTACATTAATTAATATATAGTTATTAATTTAAAATATTAAAATTATTTAAGCAATTATGTTTTAATTTAAGTTTCACTCAGGAGTAAATCTATTATAAAAAATATATTTAAATTTATTTGTTGATTTTATTTAACAATAAATCTTAATAATTATCCTAAAAAAAAGGTGTTTAACAAAATTAATATTTTCATTATTCTATCACTTGCATCAATCTATTACATTTTTTATAGGAAAAATTAAGAATATACTTTAGTAAATTTATTTATTACAATAGAATAATTAAATTAGACAAAATTTTAATGTTGTTTTATTAATTATAAATTTAATTTAAATATTTTGACTAATTTTACTTAATTTATGTTAATAAAATTAAGTAAATAATTACATTTAAAAACAATAATTTATTAAAAAGGGGAGAGATAAGAACCTAACACAAAACACATGGAAAAACTCATCACTCGAATAAAGGAGGCTTAGGAATAAGCTATTCTAAGTAAAATTTTCTAATCTGTCAAACAAAACAGAGCTTTACTTACTATGTTTATTCCCATCCAGTAAACATCTCAACAAAACGGCCCTTTAGATGCTTACCAATCAACACCCATATTTTCGTTTGTCACCAATCACCACCAAATTTTTGACAGGTAGAAGAGTGAAATACAGAAAAAAGATATATTTTTATGTATTTAAAAAAACCACAAAACTATCAAATTTTTATTGATAGTCAATATAAAGATGTGTGCTAATCGACAAGTACTTAAGCATTATTTGTTTTCTTCCATGCCCTCATACCATCGTCATTATCATGAATTGTACTGTATCATACTTCTTCAAGTTCTATCATCAATTTGGGTTAGTTTTTATGTAATATATATTGTAGGAATGAAAAGATGGTGTTTCCTCTAAAGATTTATACGCGTCTCTTTTTTATCTCGTAAGAGGTGATGTTAGGTTTGTTGCAATACAAGTAAGCTAAACATTGGAATATCGAGTTCCTTATTGTTGATGCTGAAAATTTGGCCTCCTTGTTTCTCGTCAAATGTGCACCAAGCTCGATACTCACGGCACCGGATACCTGCAAAATCGAACAATCCTATACCGGTGTGGCTTTGGCCACACGGGCTCCGATGCTTAAGTTAGTATCGGGGAAGTCGAGTGAGGAGAGTAAGAGGAGAGTAGGAGGAGAGTAGGGGGTTTTAGGCGTCCTTTTAGGTGTGACCCCTTTACTTATTTATAGTATTTCCTCCCTCCTAGGGTTTCATTATTTGAACCCTAGGTCATTCACATCATCAAGCTTCTTGGACCGTGAAATGCTTCGTTGTGGGCTCCAACCTCAGAACAGGGTCTAGATTCTACAAACACAAGTCCGCCGGGATAGGGACCGAGAGAGAAGTCGAGAAGTGTTCTCGACTCGTAGCCGAGAACACGTCGATGCCTCAGTGCCGAGCACAGCGCCTCGGTGCTGAGGTCGGGTCGGCCGTTGAGTGGGCCAGCCCTTAGGTTATGAGCTGGCCCCGGTTTGTAGTAGTTTCGAGATTCTTCCTTCTTCTTCCCGGTCCGATTCTCATTCTTGTTTGGACCGTTTTGCTCCCTATAACAATAGCCTCCACTCTTAAAATAGAAGCCGATGAGAATAAGTAAAATGTTAAGACTTCTATATTAAGAGTACTTGTTGCTTAGTCATTCCATGGGTGACTGTTTTGTTGGAACAACCCTCGTACCATCTCGTCTGGGTCGACTGTTGTTTCACGGGTTGGCCTTCTTAGCCCCCATACCTTTTTTGTCATAGTCGGCCGTGGACAAGCCTCTTGGACTTTGTCATACAGTTAATTTTAACTGTTTAAGTCTTTTTTGGTTGGCCTTGGAATACAACTTTTAGTTGGACTAGTTGTACCCCATTGGGTTAACCTGTTTGGATTTTGCCCAGGGTTTTATACCTTGAGTCAAGTTGATACCCTTTTGTTGTTACCGATTGTCGTTTCATGGGCTGGCTGTCATAGCCCCCATTTTCTTTTGTTGTAGTTGGTTGCAATCAAGTTTCTTAGGCACTGTTATACGGTTAGTTTCTACCGTTAGATTTTGGCCTTGGGATTTAACTTCTTAGCAGGGCCAGTGGTACTCCTTTTGGGGTTCTAACCTGTTTGGCTTTTGTCCATATTTTATAGCCCAGGGTTTACTCTCGAGTTTCTAACCTATTTGGCCTTTGCCAATGGTTTTTATACCCTGAGTTTAGTCGGCACCCTTGGGTTTCTAACATATTTGGCTTCTGCCTGTATTTTAACCCAAGTTCAATCAACACCCTCGAGTTTCTAACCTATTCTGGCTTTTGCCAAATGGTTTTCTACCCGTGGGTTTCATTGATTAGTTTAGGTTTGTCTGCTTTTTGTTTGTTGGGCCTGTACCCATGTCTTTTTCAGCACATTGGGATTTTCTTCCCTGGTTTCACTGATTGGCTTCTAGTTTATCGGCCTGCTTCTAGGTCTGTCCCAGTTCGAGTTCTTTGATCATTGTTATTCACCTAGCCTCCACTTGAGGAGGTTTTGTTGAAGGTATCAAATGAAAACTTTCTCGAGTACTTTAAGCCTTGTCATTCTCTCTTATTTCACTTTCTTCTATTTGCTCGTGTCGACTAAATGACTCTTCTTGCCGAGCACAATTTTTGGAAATTGGGTCGACTTTCCAGGTAGCTCCTGCCGCTACGTGCTGCTGACTTTTGCTGTAGTTGCAGTTATCGGATTTGGTCGGAAGAAGAGACCTGGTCGGTAGAAGATGCCTGGTCGGTGGAATACGCCTGGTCAGCAGAATAGACCTGGTCGGCGAAATAGGTCTGATAAGCAGAATAAGCCTGGTCAATGGAAGACACTTGGTCGACAGTAGAGACCTGGTTGGTAGAAGACATTTGGTCATGCCCTGGATCTGGTCATGCCTGGGATCCGTCATACCTTAGAGTCTGGTCATGACCAGTTATGTAGTTCGTTTGTTAGGTCTTTGCAATAGCTTTGTCTTTCATGGATCTTGGACTGATGTAGGTTGCCTCTTCTTTTTGTTGTTCAAGTTTTTCAAAAGGAGGGTTATGTTCTTGATACATTCCCTTGACTTTTCAAGGCAACCAATTTGTCTTTTGAATATCTTGGAACTTCATCAAGTTGCTTTTTCCATTTTGGGATTTGTTGATCGTTTCTCCCAAAACCTATTTTGGAATCCGTCGATTTATCTCGTCCATGATCTGTCCTGGAACTTGTCAATCTGCTTGCTCTAGGTCTTACCCTAGAACTTGTAGATTTGCTTTGCCCTAGACCTCATTGGGTTTGAGCAGTTCTTTTTCTTCTTATGGGTTGACTTATCTTACCCAAGATCTGTCCTGGAATTTGTCCTGTTTGTTGATTTACTTTTCCCACGTCTATCTCAGAAAAGGGGAGCTCCCAGAATCCGTGTCGATTTGTTTGTCCCTGGATCTACTCGGATCCGAGCAGTTCTCGGTTAATTCGTTACTCTTTGGATGTTAAAGGGATTGATTCTAAATCTTCAGCAATTTTTTCCTTATCTCGGGTGGATGATTCCATGCAATGACTAGGGCTCAGGTCGGCCTTTTCATCACGGTCGATTGTGTCGTTACCTGTTGAGGGTATCAAACCGACTGCGTGATCTAATCTCATGACATGATCTGTTCCCATCCTTCTGGTGGTTAAGTGGTCACCTACTGGAGACATTCAAGTACTGGAGTGACATGTTCCCACTTCACCATCAAGACCTTGTCATCCATCCTCGTTTATCTAATTAGGGTTCTGGGCATGTTGCTTTCCTTGTCTTGAAACTCATGGGCTTATCTACTTTGGAATTTTATCGCATAAGACCCGTCCTTGGTTCATCCCTCTTCTCGAATGACAATCGTAGTCGAACATCGTTGACCAGTTGTGGATTAGCTTACCCATGCCCCCACTTGAGGAGGTTTTGTTTGGGCATCAAACAAATAATTTTCTCAAGTATAAAACATAGGAAATAATTAATTTACCTCAAATTTGAACATCATAGTAGAATAAACAACATGCTTAATTTTATTTAACAATTCATCACCTTCAACCATCTCAAGCAAGCATAACTCTTGGTTTACCATACTCCTCGATGACAATCATCGTCGGAACGTTGTTGATCTCTCTAGAGTTCATATCGTTGGCTTTTAGATCTTATTCGAGACAAGGGACGAGAGCCTTTTGGACAGGCCTTATTTAGGTCCGTGAAGTCGATGCACATTCTCCATTTGCCATTGGACTTCTTTACCAGCACGACGTTGGATATCCACTGGGGTAATGCACCTCTCGAATGAACCCTGTTTTTAGTAGATCATTTACCTGCTTAACCACAATCTCGTTCCTTTATTGGCTGAAGGCACGAAGCTTCTGTTTCACTGGTCTACAGCTCTTGTCGATGTTGAGTCGATGTACCATTACTTCCCCATTAATTCCTAGCATGTCTTCATACGACCACGCGAATACATCGACGTTGCTCCCGAGGAAATTTATGAGGCTCGTCTTTTCCTTACTTCCTAATCTGGTTCCAATGTTGACCTATCAATCCTCGGATGTCAAAGGGATAGACTCCACCTCCTTGGTTGGTTCTCTCATTTTGAGGCGGACGGATCTAGTGGATGAGCAGGGCTCAGACATATCTCTCCTGAGTG